AATTCTTTCCCAAACTGCACTTCTCTGCAGAGACACCCATCGGGAAACAGAAGTGCAGGGGGGTGGGGAGCCGCTGCATGACTGCTCTGTTCCCAGGAGCCGCACGATCCTCCCACGAAAGCATCAAGGGCCGGATCTCTCACATCATGTGGTAAGCAGAACTGACGGCATTCTGCAGACTGCAGGCCCGCAGTATCCAGACTGAAGGCAAATGACAATATTATAAGCCATCCCCAAGACGCAAGAAAAGTTCAGAACCATCGGGCTCTTTTTGTAGCAGGAACTCCTTTGCATATTAGGCCACACACCCCTAATGTAGCCAATCCTCCAAGAGCTTACAGAGCTCTTCTTACAGGAGCTACTGTAAGCTCTTGGAGGACTGGCTACATTAGGGGTGTGTCGCTTAATATGCAAATGAGTACCTGCTACAAAAAGAGCCCTATATGTAGGAGGAAATCCTGCAGCAGACGTCACCATTCCTAATTATTGCTTCTGCCCCTAACCCAAATGACCACATGCTCCCCAACTAATATTACACAAGCCCACAGCTCCATTCATTTACAAGGGGATTTATCGATCCCTAATCCATTCTTTCAATTTCCAGCCTCTCCTGTACTCGGTACAACTCCTCACAATGACAACTCCATCCTATACAGAGTTACTCCAATCTCAGCTCATTGAGACTGACGGGTTTAGACTGGAGTAACTCTGCACATAGATGCAACAAACATGAAATTGAGCCAACTTCAGAGGACGGCGGAAGACAGGAGAGCCTGGCGTGAGCTGGTCCATGGGGTCGCAAAGAGTCGAACTCGACTGTGCGACTGAACAACAACAACAAAAACTCTGCACAGAATCACATTGTAAGCCTCCCATCAGCAGTGCCCCAATCCCCCCGAAAACGGAACACAGATAATCAGACACGCAGTGGCCATGCTGTGACTGTCTATTCTGGAGGGTGTGGATTTTGGGGGGGGGGGGCTCCCTTTATTCAAATCCATTTCGTCGTGCAGGGCCATTCATTAATGGCAGAGGCCCAAATATAATACACAAATTAGGAATCCCAAAATAAGATAAACCGGTCTGCCAGCAGCTGTTCAAGGGTACCAGACAAAATTTCTCCTGCTACTAGGGATCATCCACATCAACCAGTTTATAATATTTTAACTGCTGCATCAGAACAAGACAAAAGCAGTTATTTATTTATGACTGCATTTAATTAAAGCAGTCCTAAATTGTGATTTTAGATTCTGGCTTTATGGGCATTTTAAAGTTTTATAGGTTTTGTATTATATTCTATAGATATTGTAAGCTCCCTTGAGCTCCATAGGGAGAAAGGCGGCTAATAGGGAATTTCAAATAAACAAACAAACACATTTCAAACAAACAATCCCCTGTTCATTTTGTTTTTTAAAAAAGCAGAAGGAATTACAAGGAAGAAATCGGGGAATTTTTTTTCCATTGACTGGTCTAGTGTTAAATAAAAGGGAGGGGAGAAACTGTAAAACTAGGGTCTATGCAATCATGAGCGTTACTGCCAAACGAGAGCTGAGGAGGGACTGAAAATTTCCAACCTTCTTCTGGCTGTCAAACTTGACAGGACTTTAACTGGTTCTAAATATGTACCAGCCAAGGGAGGCACAGAGAAAGCACTTCCTAAGGTCACAGCATGGTCTCGTGACTGCATCTGGCACAGTCCCATAAAGTTTTTACAGATAACATCACAAGCTTGAAAACAAAGCTTTAACTCCGCTGCAAGGACTCACTCACCCTTCTGATAAGGTCTTCAACATTGTCATGTGGGAAGGAGCGAATGGCTGCTATGGTCCGGATCAAGCGCTCAGACAAAGAATATTTACTCTGAATGCTCTGCATAATATACCACATACTGGAACCCAAGTTCCCGGGGTTGTTTCACATGCTCCAAATAGCCTAGAAGACAAAAAAAAAAAAAGGGAGGGGTTCTAAGTGTAATTTCTCTCTTGCAAAGTCCCATCAGTAGTTACACCACTGTAAATGTTAACTGTGAAAACAAACGCCCGTTTGCAATGCGAGCATGGCAGCTGAGCCGACCCATGCCTCTTGGGGAACGGCATTCAAACCAGAACGTCTAGACCAGGGATCCTGGACTTTTCCAGACACAAAACCCACCTCTAGTCCGTGGGCAGCAGCACGGGCTTCACTGAATCGCATGCCCTGATAGGAAGTTACGAAACTGTGAGGCGTTTTTTTGTTCCAATGCAAGTCAAACCATATTTAAGGCATTTACTCATAGGCCGCCTTTCTCACGAAGGCTCAAGGAGGATCACACAATATCACACAATGCAATAAAGTGGCATAAGACATAAAATATGCCCCAAAATGCAATAGGATTATAGACGTTAAAGAAACAATGCAAAAAGGAAATCAACATTTACTGGAGGAGGAGGATTGGATTTATATCCCACCCTTCACTCAGAGCGGCTTACAATCTCCTTTCCCTTCCCCTCCCCACAACAGAGACCGTGTGAGGTGGGTGGGGCAGAGAGAGCTCTTTCAAGAACTGCTCGAGAAAAAACAGCTCAAAAAGAATTTATGACTGACCCCGGGTCACACCAGCAGCTGCATGTGGAGGAGTGGGGAACCAAACCCGGTTCTCCCAGATTAGAGTCCATGCTCTTAACCACTACAACAAACTACTGCCAGGGCTCTGTTTTGGGTGGGTGATGGGTCCCACAGGACTACCTATGGTTGATATTAAGTGGTATGTCACCATCACAGTTTTTGCATTCAGTTTTTTATCCCGCTCGCCATCTTGCCATCTACCCTTTCACAGTCTTCCCACTATCACCTTCTGCCATTTCTTTCTCCTTCTCCCTCCTCCTTTGGCTCCCTTTCACAATTCTCCCCACGCACCCTCTGTCACCTTCGCCGCCTTACAGCATTACAGTCATCCCTGCCTTCTCCGGCATGGAATCCAAGCCATGCATCACCTTAACAGATTATCGATACATAATACATTGGTAATGGCTCATCAATACACATAATCATCCGTGATGTTTTATATAGTAACGTAAGCCAAAAAGAACACATCTCTTCTTAGTGCCCATGTTTAAACTTTACGGTTTTCAAGTTCTCTGATTGGAGGAAACAGGAGATACAAAATAAACACAAGGCCAATGGTGCAAAATCAGGTAAAAATATATTTTATTACTCAGTTAAAATTTCTACTGATCTTGTTTTCCTTTTGAAGCATTACTGTAAGACGAACAGATTCCCCTGATGAAGCCTGCTGGCAAAATGTGTACGGAAGTTTTTGGAAATTTTAACTGAGCAATAAAATACCTGTTTACCTAATTTTGCTATCAGCCTTGGCTTTATTTAAAAAATATTTTAAACCTGATTTTGCACCATCGGCCTTGGCTTTATTTTTTATCTCCTGTGACTGGTGTGGCCCTTCTATTTTCTTCTTGATTGGAGTTAACAACATAGAAAAGCGTCATGGAGGAGGCAAAGAGACGAAATAAGAAACCTGACAGAATACAATGACAGTGAACATGCAGCTCAATTCTGCAAGCCCTGCAAGGTAGCTGAGCACATGCTTCTCACGCAGAAGCTCCCTGGCTTCCAGGCAGCTGAGCTAAGACCTTGCTTTCACACACGTTAAGAGAACGCACTTTCAATCCACTTTCAATGCACTCTGCAACTGGATTTTACTGTGCGAAATGGCAAAATCCGCTTGCAAACAGTCACTGAGGTGGATTGAAACTGCATTATTCCGGAAGTGTGAAAGCGCCATACATTTGTCTTGAATGCTGGGAGAGTCAGAGCCAGGGGTCATTTCGTAGAAAAAGAGCTAGGGGGACTCATTAGCATAATTCATTAGCATATGCCACACCCCCTGACATCACCGGAGGTGTGTCATAAGGCCACACCCCCTGATATCACCGGAAACGTGTCATAAGGCCACACACCCCGCCCCCAACGGTCCCGGCCGCCACCGCCGGCCTTGCAGCTCCACTGCCGAGCCCCATGAGGGGCCCGGCGGTGGACCTGCAAGGCTGGCGGGAGTGCAAGGAAGCCCCGCGAAGGCCGTCCCTGGTCCCAGGAAGGCAGGGGTGGGGAGAGGCAGGGAGGAAGCAACTTACCCTCCCTCTTCTCCTGGCTGAATGAGGGCCGGAAGCGGGGCGGCCGGAAGCCGGGGCTTTGTCATGTGCCCCGCCCCCCGTACCTCACCCGGGGGAACTGTGTTCCCCTGCGTTCCCCCCCGAAATGACCTCTGGTCAGAACAGACAGTACTGGGAAAGAGGTACCACTATTCTCATTCAGGAAGTATGCAAGCAATCAGCAAAGAATTCAACAGGGTGGCAATAAATGGTTAATACAAGGTGAAGTATCGATGCAACACTCCTCCGGATAAGTGCTTGAGGATCAACATGGAATCCCGGTGTGCGAAGCCAGATTGCTTACACAAGGAAACTCACTACCAAGCTAAAAAGTATGGTTGCTACCATGAAGAAACTGTCCAAAGAATTTCCTTTGTGGTGGAAAAAAGTCAGAGGAATCAGCAAAAATTCACTCTTATTCAAGAAAGCGCATTGGTTACTTACAGCTATCTTATGTCTGAATTGATTCACTAAAGCCAGCACTCTTTGGGGGATGATATACTATTTTTGTGCAGCCTTACTGAGTCTCAAGTATGCGATCCACAACATCTGAAGAGGAATACAACACAGAGGGTAACATGCAACACATCTTCTCTGAGCATTGCATCCTCAGGAATTGTGGCACAAAAAAGGGAAGAGAACTATGGCTTGGCAAACAGAAGGTCCCAGGTTCAGTCCCTGGTATCTCCAGTTGAACTTTGTTAACGGATCTAGTAGTAAGCTATGTGAAAGATCTCTCAGATCCTGGAGAGCGACTGCCAACTAGGGTAGACAGTATTGGCTGTAAAAGATCAATGGTCAGATTCAGTGTAAGGCAGATTCATATGTTAAGACACTGAGCCATGAACCCTTAAAACTTCACCTCTGCCAGAAGTTCACTAGTTGCTACAAAATTAACCACTTTCCCTCTCCTTCAGTCCCCTCTAAAATATAAGGAAATTACTGGTCTACCATACAGAATTATTGTAACGATTACTGACATAATATACACAAAATGCTTTCAACACTGGTAGTAGTCATCCATGATTCCTAAAACCTCCAAAATCTGTTCCTGAAACGTCAACTCTCCAGATTCCTAAAACCTCCAAAAACTGTTCCTGAAACGACAAGTCTCCAAATGTGTGAACTCTGTGCAGATTATTCCATACGAGCCCAAAACGTAAAGGACAAGTCATCGATGTGCCCCAGTGATATGTTAAGAACCCATACCTTATGGTGTGCCCATGTTTGAATTCAAATCTGCGGATGGGAGAGGGAAGAGAACCTCAGAGCAAATCAACCACCCCCAACAAAGACACCAAGCAGCCCAACGAAAGGGAAAGAAGAGTTGGTCAACCCTTCCCGTTACTCAACGCATGAGGCTTCCCTTCCCTGTTACGCTCACACAGCTGCCCATGTACTTGGCCACCTGGAACGGAAAGGCAGGAAAAGAAAAGGGGGCAGGCTCAGTTGCAGACCGGCGAGGAATCATCACTTTGGCCAATAAAACTACTGAACGCGTTTTAACAAAAACGCACAGCTAAAGAATTTACGGTCTTGCGAATCAGATCTCTGCATGGGAGTGTTACTGTACAGAACCAGAAATCGAGAAGGGCAGTTTTGTTTTCTTCCTGATTCAGGAAATAGAAGAAAAAGAGAGATAAATTTACTGGGGGGGAGATGAAAGACATCTCAGGCGTCCAAAGACCACCAGAAAGCGACGCGCCTCATAGCCAATGTTCCCTCTAAGCTATGGAGCCCTGTGAGCAAAAATTCTACTTTGTGAGCTATTGGCATTAAAGCTGTGAGCAGGAGATTTGGTTGCTGCATAAATTAAGTTTGTTCTGGACTGGAGCCACCCTTCCTGAGCCAAGACAAAAATGTGTGAGACAGAGGCTAAAAAACTGTGAGCTCACACTAATTCAGCTTAGAGGGAACACTGCCATAGCCTTACCCAAGCGGGGTACCAAGGGACAGAGCCGTCGCCCATGCCCCGCCCAGCCATCCAGGGGCTGCCTTTGCTGCCCACAGCGACCCTGCAGAGGCGCCGGCCTGGCCCTTGCGCCACCCCCCCGGCCGCACTCACCGACCCGGCGCCTAGCGGACCCCCACGAACCGGCCGCCAGCGCCACCCGGAAGCTCAACTCCCCCCGAGCGGAAACACCCGAACCCCGGCCCCCCCTCCTTGATGCAAAGAAAGGCAAAGGCCCCGACGCCTTCCCGGTAGACCCCGCCCACGTCACTAATCGCCTCCAATCATTCGTGACAGCTGTCGCCGAGTCCCACCCTTCATCCCGTTGCCTTCCAATCATCTTGCCGGAGTTACAGTTTTAGCCCAGCGCCTCTGACCCAATCACCGTCGAGATCTAAGGATAAGTCATCTTTCCTAGAGCTATAGGGCTCGGAAACGCTGTGGCCCTAAATGTGTTTACTCGGAAGTAAGTTATGGACTCCAATGAGCTTACTTCTAAGTAAAACTACTAGAGTTGCCAACAGGTGTGGAGGAAAACATCCTATCCCTTTTCTAGAGCTTTACTGTGTGGAAATGGGGCCTGGGGCAGATGAAGCTTTTCATGACAAGGAGCAACATCCTATTAAGCTGCTTCCTGGGAAGGGTAGCCATGAAGGAGCTAGAAAAGAAAGGTTCTTAAGAGTAAGGATGCGTTGCTGGCGGCCAAGATCAAGTTAATGCATGCCACAGTATTCCCCATTACTATCTATGGGTGTGAAAGTTGGACAATGAAGAAAGCTGACCGGAAGAGAGTTGCTTCCTTTGAAATGTGGTGTTGGAGGAGAGTTTTATGGATACTGGGGATCGCCAAAAAGACAAAGAAGTGGGTTCTAGAGCAAATCAAGTCTGAAGTCTCCTTAGAAGCTAACATGACTGAACTGAGGAGACCATACTTTGGTCACATTATGAGAAGACAGGAGTCACTGGAAAAGACAAGTCATGCTAGGAAGAGTTGAAGCAGGAAAAGAGGAAGATCCAACACCAGATGGATTGACTCAGTAAAGGAAGACCTGAGCAAGTCTATTAATGATAGGACGTTTTGCAGGACATTAATTCATCAGGCTGCCGTAAGTCGGAAGTGACTTGACAGCACGTCATACACAGCCTTTTGCCTGAAGAAGGAAGGGGGTCCACTTGGACTGCCCAAAAGGTTATGTGGGGGATCATGGAACCTCCTAAGTGGACAAAAGCCGAGTGAGACTAGTGAGAAAGGGCACTGAGCAAAACTGGGTGAAAACAGCTGGCTGGATCCAACTCATTGAGCTGAAAAATTTGCAGTCAACTTTCCCAGAATGTCCAATGCATTTTAAATGTCTGCATTCTTCTTTAGGGGAATGAATCAATGCAAAGTGTGCATCATAAACCATTTGAAATGGAAATCAATAGGGCTTAATCCCAAGTAAAAGATTTTGGGATCGAGGAGCCCAGGGTGCTCACTTATAAATAACCAAGTTGTAGCTGACTTATGGCAAACCCTTATGGTGATTCCCAGGGGTCATTTCGTAGAAAAAGAGGTGCAGGAGCTCATTAGCATAACTTATTTGCATATGCCACACCCCCTGACATCACCGGAAGTGTGTCAGAAGGCAACACCCACCACTCAGGCTCCACTGGACTGTTTTGGATTGCTAGCTATTGGGGGGGGGGGGGCGTGCAGATCTGTCCTCACAGAGGAGGGAGAGCTTGTACCTGAATGAAACTTGGTCTTAAAGGTGCCACTGGACTGTTTTGGACTGGGGGGCCGGGGGGGGGGCTCTGCAACTTACCTGGCTGCTTCTTGCTCTGACTGAGGGCTGCTGGGAGCAGGGGGTGCGGCTTGTTGATTGTACCCGCCCCCTGGGCTCTTTACTGCCGGAGCTCTGCTCCTGTGTGCTCCTGCAGGAAATGACCCCTGGTGATTCCTCGTGGGGCTTTCAGAGGTGATTTGCCTTTGCCTTCCTCTGCATAGCAACCCTGGTCTTCCTCAGGGATCTCTCATCCAAATAGTAACCATGGCCACAAACTCCAGATAGCTCCAGCTACTCAGGCACCTTCATCTTCTCAGAAATCTTTTTAGTATATGACCTAGCCCTCCATTTTTATCACACCCTTCCTCCACAGAGCTTGGGGCAGCGTATACTCACTGCCATTTTGTTCCCACAACAACCCTGAGAGGTAGGTTAAGTTATGGGAAAACAATTGGTCCACAGTCCCCCAATCAGCTGAGTGGGAACGGGAACTCTGTCCTGAGAGAAGGGTTGCCAACCTCTAGGAATCACCTGGAAATCACCCACAATTATGTTTGATTCCCAGACAACCCAGACCAGCCCCCCTGGAGAAAATGAGTGCTTTGGAGGGTGGACTCTGTGGCCTTTTACCCCACTGAGGTCCTTTCCTTCCCCTAACCCCCACCCTCCCCAGAAGGGGTGCCAAGTCCCCCGGCCAGGGGATGGGGAGCAGGGCAGCCAGGTGACTTCTGAGGATTTGGAGATGGAGCCCGGAGAGGACAAAGATCTCAGTGGGGAACCATGCCCTAGATTCCACCTTCCAAAGCATCCCTTTGCTCTAGGGGAACTGACCTCTGTAGCCTGGAAATGAACTCTAATCCCGGGGATCCCCAGGTCTCACCTGGAGGCTGACATCCCTACTTCCCAGGCTCCACACACACACACCCCAATCTCCACGTTTTTCCTCCCAGCCCAGAGCTGGGAACTTTACCTGAGAGCTGTACCCGCACTATCCTTGAAGACATTTCACTGCAGCCATCATCCGCCACCGGATTCCCCTGCGTGGACAAGGCAGCCCAGCTCCAAATGACCGCTGGAGCGCCATGACAGCACTGAGCACTCTAACCACTGTGCCCCATGATCAGAGGAGACTGGGAACCCGGCTGGCTCCCATGACTGAACCGATCGCTGTCCACCTCTTTTCCCTAATGGAGAAAGAAATCCATCCACCCCACCCCGGCCTTCCTCTGCTTGCACGGATCTTTCACCCGGATCCTCTAGCGCTGCATTCCCACTTGCAAGAAAGCAACTTTAGGCTGCAGCATCCTTGACCATAGAGCTACCATTTCCTAGCGATCACCAGGAAATAACCGAGGAGGAGGAGGACTAGGGGATTAAATGAACCTGGGACCTTCCTGTTCCCAGCAGCCCCCTGAGCTGAGAGTTGAGCTTTTCTTGCAAACGCTGCCGCCGCCGCCGCCGCCGCCGCCGTGGCTGAGCTTTCTTTCTCCGCCTGGGGGGAGAAATTAAACCCAACCCCAAAGCTTCCTTCTGCAAGTGAGTTCCTTTTTTAAAAAAAATCTACAGATCTGCGGGGGTGGGAGAAGGAGAAAAAGCATTGCCTGCAGGAAGGCATTCGCAGAACCGGATTGCTGCGTGGGGAACGGAACATCCAGAGGCAATCCGGAGTAAACTCGTCCCCGTTCCCCGCCCCTCCCAGTTTGATGACTTAACTGGATGTGATGTAAAGAGCTGCAGTGGTTTGTCACGGCTCAGTAAATGCCCATCCTGGGAGTTCCCCCCCCCCCATCCCCCAGTGGTAGTTTTATCCTTGTTTCTCATCGCGATGCCAACTGGCCGATTTGCTTTCTATTTTGGGGTGGCTGTAAAAAGATGCCGGGTTTCGGAGGCCATCTGCAGCTGTTTCTCTCCGGGGGTGGCGGTGGCTCCTTCCCCCCTCCCACCCACCTGCCCGGACTTGCTGCCCCAGATGACATTGCTGGCTTCCCAAGATGGCCACCCCCGAGCGACAGAGAAACTGTCACTGGAAAAGTTGTGGCTCTGCGTGGTGCCTCTGGCGAGAGCCTCGGATTAGAAAGGTTCGGGGGCTGAGCCGAGCGAGAGCTGGCGGGTCTTTATCCTCCGGGGGCTGAGGCTGCACAGCAAAAATGACAGGGGGGGGCGGGGACGGCGAGCACAGGCTGGGGAGGTATCTTTGGTTGAAACGTGTCCATCTTTCACGGGACAATGGCCCTAGCTTCTGTACAGCTGCATTGGAAAGACGGGGTGGTTCACTGATATAGGAAGCTGCCCCCCCACTCAAAATATTTCTAAACTGGTCTTGATGTGGCCTCTTATTTACTTAATTCTGCCTTTCTCCTTTGGGGACCCAACATGGTTGACATTGTTTTCCTCTCTTTCATTTTATCCTCACAACAACCCTGTGAGGTAGGAGAGGCTGAGAGTGTGTGACTGCCCCAAGGTCACCCACCCAGTGACCTTCCATGGCAGAGTGGGGATTACGAACCTGGGTCTCCCAGATCCTAGTCTGACATTTTAACCACGACACCAGGCTGGCTCTCATATGGGTCCATAACATGCCGAAAGCTCCTGGTGGAAAGGAAGGCATGTATCCTACTGCTCTGCTGAGCAACGCTGGGAGCCTTCTCCTAGCTTAAAGGGCTCTTCTTCTGGCAGACAAGCCACTGAAGGTGGAAGAAGTTTTCTAATACATGTCCATGTGTGAGCTGCTCGAAAGGGTGAGGTGTCTCTGCCTTTCTCACTGAGACCCAACGTAGATTTTTTTTTGGGGGGGAGCAGTGTAATCAAGTAGTACGGGAGTTCCAACGAGTCTAATTGCAAGAATTAGAAACAGGGCAAAAAAAGTATCAGAGGTGATATGTCAAGTGTTGCGGAAAAATGGAATTATAAAAGTAGAAAATAGTGCCGTGGCAGAGAAAAATAATGCATACAGTAAATAGCGTTCTGTGCGCCTTGGTGTTTAGTCATGCCAGCCACATGACCACGGAAACATCTTTGGACAGCGCTGGCTCTTCGGCTTTGAAACGGAGATGAGCACCGCAACTCTAGAGTCGGACTCGACTGGCTTTCGAGCAAGGGAACCTTTACCTTTAAATAGTTAATATCTAGCATGCACAGTGGCATAGATTACAGCCTTCGTGAATTGTTCAGTTACATTGGTAGCTTGGTTTTTGGCCTCATTTCATGGCTCTGGGGCAGTCAGTCTCACTGAATGCAGTGGATCTTGCTTATAAATAGAGCTGCTTCCTGACTGAAGAATTCTTAGTAGTCTAATTGTGGGTTGTAACGGATCAAATCTTACGCGCCTACATCTGAATAATCAAACAGCAGTTTTAATGAAAGAGCACACTTTGTTTACAGATGTGCGCAGAAGAGACATTCCTTCCTGTGTGTGAGATGGTGCCGAGCATCAATATTTTCTTGGGGTTTTTTTTAAGTGGGTTGCTTATTAAATGGGAACACTCGTTTTTGGTGCTCACAAGGGTTTTAACTGAACGATCAACCAGCAGTACAATCCTCTGCAGAGTTACTCCAGTGTATTGAAATCACTGTGCTTAGAGTAACTTGGCAAGGACTGGCACCATTAATGTCGTAACTCTAACCAGAACAAAGATTCACTGGATCAGGATATAGGAACCTTATGAGATTGCTGGATATGCATGAGGGGAAATTCAGAGGGCTCGGCTCGTCCCAGCTCAGAGATTTCAGGGGCTGAGAACAAATTCATTTGCAGGATTTCTACAGGTCCTATAAGGGCCACAGGATCCATGCAGGCAAGAAAAAATGGCAACCCTCTGTTGGGGCCAGCGCATGATAGCTACTAAGCATAAAGCATCCCATGCTGAAGGAACATGGTGAGCTGTTTGGCATGTTTGGCTGCAAACCACGCTAAATGTCGATTCAGTTTGTTGCTGAGATGAAACTGCTTCCAATACATGGTGGCCGTTTACATGTTGCCGGTCTAGTGTATATGAGAAATTGCAGACGGTTGATGTGGGCAGGCAGGTGTTTTCCAGAAGGCACCACTTATTGAAGCTGTTGTGAGAATAGATCTAACTTTATTCTGTATGTTCTGTACGGGCATAAAGAGGACAGGGTTTCCTTTGTGTTAGGACTTGGCTCTTGGGAGACTTGTCTATACTACTAGGGTTCAAGCCTTTGGTGCAAAGGACTCAGTGCCTTTGAGCATGTGCCAGCTGAAGTTCTCTCTGTCCTGAATAATGACACCCAGACCCTCTAAATGTGGGGACTGGAAGAAGCTGTGGCTCAAAGACAGAGCAACTGCTTTGCATGCAGAAAGTCCTATGTTCAGTCCCCACAGCATCTCCAGTTAAAAGGGTCAGGCAAGAGGAGGTGTGAAAGACCTCTGTCTGAAACCCTGGAGAGCTACCGCTAATCAAAGGCCTTTTCTGCATACTCATTTTCCTCACTCATAAGTTCTGGTTTCTTTGGGAGGGGGGGTCTGTTCTGCATGTGTTTTGCTCGCTCTAGTGGTGTATTTGGTATTACACCGGTGTATGTCCAGTGTAAAACCTTTAAACTGCAGGGAGATATGCCAGACAGAGACCAATGTAATATAGAATCAACCACTAGAGGGAACAAAACACAGAAAACATCAACGAAGAAATGGGAACTTTACAAGCAAGGAAAAGGAGTATGTGGAAAACCCCAAAGTGAACAATATTGGCTGGGATAGGCAGTGGTCTGATTTGGTGTAAGTCAGCTTCATGTGGAAGCTGAAAGAAAGCTGCAGGGTGCAGTTTTGAGTCCTGGCACTAATTTTACAAAGCTGTTCTGAAGTAAATCCTCATGGACGTATGTTAGCAATTCTGAGACACACTGCCAGTGTCAGGGGAGGGGAAGAAACAGCTCTTTTATAGGGAGTAGCTCTGTTGGTATTCAGAACAGTTAGATTTGAATCCAGTAGCATCTTAGATACCATTGAGGTTTTCAAGGCTATAAGCTTTCAAAGGGAGCTTTGACTCTTGAAATCTTATACCCTGAAAATCTTCTTGGTCTCTAAAGAAGACGACGAGGAGAAGAGGAAGAGGCTGGATTTATAACCCCACCCTTCACTCAGAGTCTCAGAGCAGCTTACACTCTCCTTTCCCTTCTCCTCCCCACAACAGACACCCTGTGAGGTAGGTGGGGCTGAGAGAGCTCTTTCGAGGACTGCTTGTGAGAGAACAGCTCTGAAAGAACTTTTAACTGACCCAAGGCCACACCAGCAGCTGCATGTGGAGGAGTGGGGAATCAAACCTGGTTTAATGGAATCTCCAGCCCCAGAGGCCTTTGAAGAGCAGGTTAGATGAGCACTTGGCTAGATTAGCTTCTTAGATAGTTGACCAGAGGGAGTTTCAAAATCACACTGAGCTTAGGGTTTTTTTTAAAATATTATTCAAAAGATTTAGTTAGGCCTTGGTCCTGAGACTTCTGCGGGGGCTAACAAAATTGCAACTGATTTTAAGCACAAGGTGTCATTTCTTTCTAACACTGCATAAAACTGTAGAATTAAATTGATAGAAAACGAAGATAAAATAGCAATAGACATGTTGAATATGAGAGTGAGAGTGAGACCCAAAACAAAAGCAGCAGTCGAGTGTTTTAATAAGCTTTGGGAGACCCAAGTCAAATCCACAGTCTAGCTACACGTAGCCCGCTGTGTGACCTAGGGCCACTCACTTTCTTCTCAGCTTCAGAGGTTGGTTGTGAGGGGAAATTCCACTGCGTTAGCCGAAACCCCTTGCCTTTAGCATTCTTTAGATGTGTGTGGACACTTGAGCCTGTGTTGTCCTTGAAATATAAAACATAGTAGCTGATCTTTACCATGTGGTAACTAGGGATGGCAGCCTTCAGGTGGGACTTGGGCATCCCCTGGAATTGCGGGTCATCTCCAGACTACAGAGATTTGTTCCCCACTGAGGTCCCAGTCCTCCCCAGGCTCCATCTCCAAATCTCCAGGAGTTTCACAACGTGGATCAAGTAACCCTACCTCCCCCTCACCAGTGGCCAGGGGAGACTTGGCAATCTTAATGGTGTCAAAGGTGTAGCCACAGGGGTTTTTTTGTAGAAAAAGCCCAGCAGGAACTCATTAGCATAATAGGTCACGCCCAACAGCAGAAACCCATTAGCATATTAGGCCACACCCCTGACAGCAGAGCTCATTAGCATATTAGGCCACAACCCCATGTTGCCAGAAATGTGGTCATTCAGCCACACCCACCTTTTGCTCCTTATTCTGTTTACCTTGTTTGTTGTCAAAACCCAGGGCTTTTTTTGTAGCAGGAACTCCTTTGCATGTTAGGCCACACACCCCTACTGTAGCCAATCCTAATGAGTTCCTGCTGTTGGGTGTGGCCTATTATGCTAATGAGTTCATGCTGGGTGTGGCCAACTCAGGAGCCAGCCGGAACTCCGTTCCTGGGCGTTCCTGCCCCAAAATAGCCCTGCGTAGCCATATTCCATTAAGATGACAGGATTTAAAATAGTGCTAGGTCCCTGCCAGCCCTGGTTTCCAAGCCTTGAGCTCTGGTCCTCTGTACAGAGATTACCATCTGTCAGAGGGAGACTGTGGGTGAGCAGGGTAAGGTAGACCTCTTTGGGTTGGCTTCAGAGATTGCACAGCCATGGTAGCTGGGGGGAGAGGCTTTGAGGCCTTGGAATACAGTGGCCCTCTGGGTCTCTGACTTCCTTATTTGTATATCCTCTTACTGACTGACAAGACGGTGTCTTGAATTTCAGCTCCTGTCAGCGGCAAGATTCCAGCTTGCAAGAATTTCCCACGATGGAGTGTGAAGACCCAGGTATTGTGGAGATCCACGACTCGGATGATGGAGGGATCGTGAGGAGAGTCTACGTAGGTGAGAGCCTTGGCCCTGGTTGGACGGATCCCTTGATAAACCTTTTCATGCCCATGGGATATGTGGTCCTCTCCTTAAAAGACGGTATTCTGCTTTGAACAGTGTATTCCAGGAGGCACTTACCCCACCCGTTGGTGAAATCCTACAAGCTACCGCACACGCATGCCACGTTCATTTCTATCTGCAGATAACCTGTCTCTTAGAGATAATTGCTTGTTGTTGAGGTGCTGTTGTTAATAAGGGTGCTGAGAAATCTTTTTCCCACAAAAAGAGGGAAGTAATTCATTTTGCCTCAAGTCTACAGGTACAGAAGTTCCACCTGAGTATGAGCAGGGGTGGATGTAATTTACATTTCTTACTTGGCACTGTCTCTCTTGGGACAGCTCAAAGCACTTTCTTACGACTAGGCGTACTTCCACTTCTGATAGACCCAGGAGGGTGGCCGTGTTGGTCTGAAGCAGCAGAACAAAGTCTGAGTCCACTGGCACCTTTAAGACCAGCAAAGGTTTAGTCACAATATAAGCTTTCGTGTGCAGGCACTGGACGCAAACTTAAAGGTGCCACTGGACTCAAACTTTGTTCTTCCACTCCTGAGTATGTGGTGCAATTTGGAGTCTGTCATTTTTCACTTCCAGGCAGAGCTGCGCCTAATACCTCAGTTCCATTGGAGCACAGAAAAAGCACAGGGTCGGATCTAGACTAACTCACCTCTTCACACAAGGCACCTCTGTTCGTGCTTCTCCCCTGCATCCGACTGATTCCCCCTTCAAGAACAGCATGAGAGGCAAATTGGGCATCTGCAGCAGGAAGGGAGAGAGGAGGAGTCTCTTTTCCCTTTCCCTCCCCACAACAGACACCCTGTGAGCAGTGTTCCCTCTAAGCTGAGTTAGTGTGAGCCAGCTCATAGTTTTTTAGCCCCTGGCTCACACATTTTTGTCTCAGCTCAGGAAGGAGGGCTCCAGAGCAAACTAATTTATGCAGTAGCCAAATCACTCACTCACAACTTTAATGCCAGTAGCTCACAAATAAGAATGTTTGCTCACAAGACTCCAGAGCTTAGAGGGAGCATTACCTGTGAGGTAGGTGGGGCTGAGAGAGCGCTTTTGAGGACTGCTTGTGAGAGAACAGCTGACAGAACGTATGACTGACCCAAGGTCACACCAGCAGCTGCACGTGGAGGAGAGGGGAATCAAACCCGGTTCTCCCAGAATAGAGTCTGCGCTCCTAACCACTACACCAAACTGGAGGATAAGTGGAAATTCCCCCACCCCTTCCATTAGCAGAAAATTCAGTCTAGATCCAACCTGTACTCTACTGAGTGGGCTAGGGTGCAAGATCCAGCTTCCTGTGGATTTCACTGGTTTAAAAAATATGGTTTCTAGTCACTAGGGCTGCCACTAGATCTGTTTGAGCGTCTTGCTGAAGGCTCAGAAGGAAGAGGAGCAGCTGAATAAGGTTCTTAAAAGATAAGGGCCACCACAGATCTTTATGCCCTTCCCCAGAATATATGAGTAAAGCACAATACTCAGATAGCCCACTAGAAATAAGGCTGTCGCCCAATTAAGAAAATCTGTTAACTCATTAAATCAGACATCATTTCAATATGTGGACAACAGTTTTAAGGAGAAAAAAGATCTATGGCTGCGGTCACACGGAGCATTAGCCACGCTGCATAGACGGAAGATAGGCGGACTTTCCGGGCGCGATCTCACCGCAACATCTGTTCCGGGAACCGCGCGGCAAGAGTGGGCGCCTGATCGCGTCCCTGCTGGACTCCCGTGGCATCTGGTGCCCGCCGGGTTGTCCCCCCCCATGCCTCCAGAAGTGCCCAACAGCGCATGCGCACAAAGACGCGCGGCATCGTTGGGGTCGAGGGAGGGCCACGGGGGGCTGCGATGGGGGTGAGCGGCAGCGGCCAGGTGGAGAGGGAGGGCAGGAGGGCGGGCTGCTGGTGGGGAGGGGGGATCTGGTGGGTTACTCCCCCCTCCCCCCTCCTTGTGAGCGGCCCATGGACCCTGCCCGGAGTGGGCTGTGCACAGCCCTCCCAGCGGCGGCGGCTCGTTCCGTCCCCCCCCGCATTTTCCTGGCCGTGTGGCCGGGGCCTGTATTTGTTTTTAAATGATGCAGCAGTTGTCAACATAGAAGAGGCATTCCCCTTTCTTGTACCTGAGGGAGTACCAGTTCTTAGATAGCATTTACCATCTTATCAAGAGGATTAGCAAGTACTTCTCTTAATTTTTAAAAAATTCGCTGCCGTATTAGTTGATCAAAAATATTTATCTGAACAACTAGATATGGCAGCCCTCATTACATTATCCCCCTCCCCATTTGTCCAAGGGTTGAACAATGTTTGGATTTCATACAGATAATGTTTTTAACGCTCCCAATTAACCTTCTCTCTGCTAGAGGGAGATGAGGCATTACTAGATCCATTTATATTAATTGTCACTTATTGCCCCACAACAAAGGTAGATAGGACCCAGCAATTTAGATCAAACATGCAAGAAACACATTGCTGAACAAGTTCACAGTATAATGAATTAACAATGAAGATACTGCTTTAATTGTTGTTTTGTTTCAACAGCAGAATACACCAAGAGACTTTGGTCTGTTGGTGTATTCAGCTGTTGAAACAAAACAACAATTAAAGCAGTATCTTCATTGTTAATTCATTATACTGTGAACTTGTTCACTTATTGCCCCACAACCAAACAACTCAAAGCACTCCAGAATGGAGGTTCAAGCAGAGGTTCAACCTTGAAATATATATTCAATATATATTCATGTGTGTGTTACTGACAGGAAAATGGGAAGCAGAATGGGCTAAGTTAAACCAAGCTCACTTTGACCCATTGTGGAACATAATAGAAGCATCATGGGGAAAAGATTAGAAACTCTTTAGGAGATCCTATGTATGCTTTAAACTTGTTGTAGGCCCCACAAAAAGGGTTGAGTAATTTTTATCCATTCTCTCCTCTTACTGCAGCCCCCCCCCAACCCACTGACCCATGTTTGTAAGTGCTGTTAAGCTGCAACCAATTTACAGCAACCCCAGTAAGGGGCTTTCAAGGCAAATGCAAAGAAGATATTGGATTTATACCCCTCCCTCCACTCATAGTCTCAGAGCAGTTTACAATCTCCTTCCCTTCCCCTCCCCACAACAGACACCCTGTGGGGCTGAGAGAGCTCTTTCAAGGACTGCTCTTGAGAGAACAGCTCTGACCGAACTAAGGCTTGCCCAAGGTCATCCAGCAGCTGCAAGTGGAGGAGTGGGGAATCAAACCCGGTTCTCCCAGGTTAGAGTCTGCGGATTTAACCGCTACACCAAACTGGACGAGAAGCAGAGACGGTCTGCCATTGCTTTCCTCTGCAGAATCTGCCTTGGTTGATTCTCATCTAAGTATCAGCCCTGCTTAGCTTCCAAGATCGGATGAGACTGGGCTGTATCATGCCACCTTCCCTTCCCCCTACTGACCCACAGGAGCACAACATTTCACAGAGAACTGCACGGAAGCTATTAGTTATGAAGCACAGCCCCTGCTTGGGTTGCAGAAGGACCCAAGCCCGTGTCTATTAACAGCATATGGTTGTACATTCAGTTGCTGCTACAGGAGTTGAATCTGGGGTACAACTTTGTTTTTTTAGTACATTGCTGAAGATTACTGGGCTCCTTTGTGGAAGCTGTATGGAGGAAGTGAGCAGTGACTCATGAAAGCCACAAATCTTGATTGTCTTTAAGGTGCTACTGGACTCTTGCTCTTTTTAGCTATGTGTAGCAGACTCTAGCCTGGGAGACCGGGTTTGAGTCCCGACTCCTCTTCCACATGAGGCCTGCTGGGTGACCTTGGGCCACTCACAGTTCTCTCAGAACTCTCTCAGGCCCACCTACCTCACAAGGCGCCTTTTGTGGGGAGAGGAAGGGAAGGTAATTGTAAATTGCTTTGAGACACATGAGGCCTGCTGGGTGACCTTGGGCCACTCACAGTTCTCTCAGAACTCTCTCAGTCCCACCTACCTCACAAGGTGCCTCTTGCAAGGCAAGGAAGGGAAAGTCATTGTAAGTTCCTTTGAGACTCCTTAAGGTAGAGAAAAGCGGGGTATAAAAACCAACTCATCTTCATCTTCTTTTGGCCTGTAAGTATTTTGAGAATTATTTGTAGCTGAACCACACAGGTCTCTTCCTCTCTTTACAGCTGAGAGAGATGTGGCAAGTGAGGGTGAAGATTTCCTGGAGCATGAGCTCAGGCAGCCCAGCTGGAAGGCAGGTTCACAACAGGATGGGTCTGAAATGGAACAGCAGCGGAGCCCACTACCCCCTGGAAGCTACGACGACAGTGAAGTGGCGGTCGCGACCACGGTGGTCCAGCGTTCTGGCAAACAGCGCCCATTCATCTGCAACGAGTGTGGCAAGAGCTTCAGCCACTGGTCAAAGCTTCTGCGGCATCAGCGCACGCACACCGGAGAGCGCCCCAGCACCTGCTCCGACTGTGGCAAGAGCTTCTCACAGAACTCGCACCTGGTGCAGCACCGGCGCACCCACACGGGCGAGAAGCCCTACGTCTGCCGCGACTGTGGCAAGAGCTTCAGCTGGAGCTCCAACCTGATCCAGCACCAGCGCATCCACACGGGGGAGCGTCCGTACACCTGCGCGGACTGCGGCCGCAGCTTCACCCAGAGCAAGAACCTAGCCAAGCATCGGCGGACGCACACAGGCGCACGGCCCTTCCGCTGCCCCGAATGCGGCCGTGGCTTTGCACACACTGCAGGTCTGGTGAAACACCAGCGCCTGCGCCATGACAGTGACTCCCCCATTGGCCACCCTTGCCCAGAGTGCGGGCAGCGCTTCCGGGCCCCTTCCGAGGTAGAACGTCACCGCGTCGCCCACCACGGCGTTGCCCCCTCGGAGCCCTTCATCTGCGTGGAGTGTGGAGAGTGTTTCTCTAAGAGTACCACGCTCGTCCGCCACAAGAGAGTGCACAAGCCGATCTTTGTACACTGACCTCGGCCTTCTGTGGGATGGGACGTTCTGACCGGGTACTTGGGCTTGTAGCCTGGAGTCTTCAGACTGGAGTACAGGGAGACTTTCTGACTCTAGTCCAGGCCTTTCTTGATCAAATCAAAGGCCCCAGTGGGAGCGATGAGCAAACCCACTTCAGTGAGGAGGAGACTGGGCCAAGAGCATAGATGTCGCTCACTCAGTGGGAGAGACTGCTTGGAGCCCAGAGGACTTGCCTGTGGGGCGAGATCAATGTGGAGGACAATTCTCACTGACCTTCTGAGAGCCAGCAAGGCTTGGCCCTGTTGCTGTATATAACGTGGGGGGTATTCGTTAGCTAGAAGCCATAGTAGGAATCTACAGGGGGTGGGTGGGAAAGAGATCCACTCTCTAAACAAAGTAATCAGACTTGAATGGGGCTCTGGAGGAAGGCCGCTTCTTGGCCAAATTAGGGTGCCCTGGAAAGGTGGATTCTTTGCTCGCTGGGCACTTGGAGGGGGTGAGGAAGCAACAGAGAGGGGAAAGAGTCTTGTGAATAAACGTTTTCTGCCTCTCTTTATCTTGATGAGCTAGTCACTGTCTCTCTCGGAAACGATTTCCAGCTTTGTACCTGTGTGATCGAGGCGGGTGGGGGGGTTGGTCAAAAGCAGGGGGAAACTGATCAAATTCTGGAGGTGCTGGATCGGCATGGAGGGAAAAGCTAGCAAGAGACTGATACAGTTAATACGATACAAGAACTCGTGGGGAGTCAATGAAATTAATGAGCAGTAGGCTTAGAACAGATAAAAGGAAGTATTTCTTCACCCAAAGGGCAGGAAGAAAGACGAGAGATGGATAGGGCTAAAAGCCTTGAAGCCCATACGCTCTTATAAGCAGCAGGGAAAATCTGCACATAGCAGCTCCTACACCTTTTGCTTTTAAAGCTGCTTCTAGTCCTCATGGAAGCACAGGAAGCACACAGGGGGAGTCCAAGGCGCGTACATTTTCACAACAACCTCACCATTATTCTACAGTAAAGACCTGATCTGAATTATGACAGTGGGTGAGGAAAGCATCATAAAGAGATGAATGGAAGGAAAGGGCAAGTCCCCCTCCGAGATGAGTTAGTTTGGAAGGGAGATGAGCACTGTGGATGTGTTCAGAAAGGGCGGTCCAAGCGAGAGACGGTGACGGTAAAACTGGAGGAGTCGAGCGATTGGACGGCTATAAAAGGAATGAGTGGGGTAAGACCATAGGAGACCGTTAGTGGTAAGGTGAGAAGGCATCCTAGGATCTGAGCAACAGGTGAGGTGAAGGCAGTGGAGGTCTGGCTAGATGCTAGAAAACTGGCGGCAGCTGGCTGGAGGGAAGAAGGGAGCAACAGCAATGGGAGAGAAGCAGTGTTCCCTCTAAGCTGAGTTAGAGTGAGATAGCTCACAGTTTTTTAGCCTCCAGCTCACACATTTTTGTCTTAGCTCAGGAAAGAGGGCTCCAGAGCAAACTCATTTATGCAGCAGCCAAGTCACTCGCTCACAACTTTAATGCCAGTAGCTCACAAATAAGAATTTTTGCTCATAAGACTCCACAGCTTAGAGGGAGCACTGGAGATAAGCAAAAGTTTTAATTGCAGTTGAGGAAGGGGAAAGGCCAAATGCTTGCAGGGCTGTACAACAGGCTGGATTTTTATTGGCTTTGCCTCCACTGAAAGTGCAGGGAGCCTGGGACAGAGAAGGAAAAGGTGGAAGCCTGATGCGCAGATCTGTTGCTAAGGGACTCCTAGAAAGGGGCTAAAAAAGAAGCGCATCTGGGGTGAGTCTGAAGTTCAGTCAAAGGCCCAGACAAACTCACGGGACTGGCTTGAAGAATGGCCATCTTGTTTCGGACACTGTTATTTGATCCTTTGGGGCAATGCATATATGATGGGTGCAGCAACAAGTATTTATTTGTGCATCCTCCTGTTCACCAGGAAAAGAGAATGGAGCTGTTCAGAAGCGGAACATGTGGGTCAGACGAACTGAATCCTCCTCCCATTCCTTCTCTGCTCTCCAGTGCTTTATGTACG